TATGCTCCAGTAGATAATTTTTTTTAAATAGTAAATTTTACAACTTTTCAATCGGATAAAGCGATAGATAAAAATAAGAATAAAATTTTTCAATACATCACGTGTGTATATTATTAATATATTATCTAAGCTCGCGTGCTATTTTAAGAGAAGATTATAATCATATAATAAAATTAATCATAAATATTAGTATTAGTTATATAACAACAAAGAACTAAAACCTAAAGTCATCCTCGGAGGTCAAGATTAATATGTTCAATTAGTCAAATTTCTGAATTATTCTGCGCGTTAGCATGTCGAATCAAAGGATCTTTGATTTCCAATGTCGGAACAGCCAAAGCTTAAGGACAATCAGAGACATTTTGCGGAAGATGAACAGCGGTATTTGAAAAGGCGCGAGCATTATCGGAACAATGATATGGGATCTAACATAGACGATCGCTTCGGAAAAATGAAATAATAGCAACGGCACTCTCGTATAAGTAAATATCCTCCACAACAACGAACTACACCATTTACGTTCTGTCTTTGGCTTGGGTTTCGCGAAGTTTGTCACTTCCTAAAGCAGACAAAAGATAATTACTATCCTAGAGACGAGCATAACTGAACCAGAAAAGAAGCGACATTCTAGCGAGAGCAAAAGAAAGAGACTCGATTCGTGCAAACTCAAATTCACCAATAAGCAGCGGTACGTTCGCAAGAGTGTGAACCAATTGCTAGAAAAAAAAACAAAGACAAGAGGAAATACCTGCACAGTCATTTCGGAGTCGCGCTGATTCTCGCTGATTAACGACTCGGCCATACTTATGTCGTCAAACTCTTCCTGATCCAGCATTATCGAAAGCTCGTCGTGCGTCCTCGTGTCCATGCCGCGCAGGCAACGTCCGCACAATTGACCTCGTCTGTAAAGACGTATTCGCTTGTTGTACGCAAATATTGCCACGCCATGATATCATCACGCAAAAAAATTTCATGCCGACGAGTCCGTTCCGACAGCGTGCAACTTTTTAGCGTTCTCCAATTCCACTCTTATTTACATTTAAAGATCCCGCCCGGCGATGTAGCTTTTAATTAGGTATGTGGAGCGATCCACGTCGCGATTCAAGAAAGGGAAACGAATGGGAACGCGCGTACCTGACTTCCTCCAAGGTGCTAATCTC